TCCATTGATAGAAAATGTATATATACATAGGGAGAAGCTGCCTCGAAGCGATGGCAGTTACATGTTAAAAGAAAAGGAAGATCACTACTTAGGATTGGACACACGAATGATGATTTGTTAATTAATACATTTTAGGTAATAATAGACACATCCTAATTTATTCCTACACTTTCTCTGTTCAATCAATTTTGGCCGTTGAAAGTCTTTTATTGGCTGGGTGTGGTAACGGTCTCCTTCTTTCTTGGCTAGACAAACCGACATGCAAGGGACCAGCTAACCAACTGCCCATGTACACAACAAAACTGGACACGCAAGGGAACGAGCTGCCCACCAACACGTCTCACCCACTATCACCCAGGGGCCATGTACGTTTCACACCTCTGGATTCACTAGGAGAGCTTATTTCAAGGGAGCTTAATAATTGTATAGATTAGAGACAAGGAGGCACGTCACCATGCAACGGAGCCTTATCAACACCCGCATGCAAAAATATCTACCATGTTATATGAAACTTATAAACCCGGACGAAGGTAGCAGTACAGTGCTACAAGAAAGCTAGGCAGCGTACGATTTGAACAAGACACAGCTAACTGCGAACAGGTCTAGTCGACAAGGTACATGCATAATGGAAACTGGGTAGACAACATGGATGCTGCAAAAGGGGCTTTCCCGAGATGCCGCAATAGAGATACTGCAAAGTGGTGGTCGCCGGAGAAGCCGCAACACAAGCGCCATGCTGCAATGGGGCAAAGATTTTTTTTTTATTCGAGAAGTTTGCAATAGGCGTCGCTGTTGTGAGCTCCCCGTTCACAATGGCAGCACCGTCCCAGCCGTTCGCAACATCGCCTCTATTGGCGAGCTCACGCGGTGTTGCCATGGAAGCGTCGTCGGTGCTGCATTGTTGGCATCACCGTCGCTGCCGCTGACAACATCACCTCTGAGATGAGGTTGGCAGCAACCGGGTGGTATGGTATGCACCAGCTACTACGTACTCTTTGCTGACAGGCCGATACCCACCTCCTTCGGAGTTGTCCACGTTGCACGCGTACGCCTGGTAACGGGCAAGTCTCCAACTCGTTTCCGTTAATAAGTGAACTGGAAAAGTTTCTTTCTTGAAGGTCAAGTTATAAGAGACAGGATTCGGACCCAAATAAATCTGATCGTTCCCAAACTACTATAAGTACAAGACCCGGCACCGAGGCGCTGACCCTAAACCCACGGAGAGACTCTCGATCGAGGCCTAAGAAACCCTAGCGATCCTCCTCTCGAGACCCGATCGATCGACGTCCCAACCGAGAGCTAGCGGCGGCCAGCATCACATGGAGTCGGCGATGACGACGTGGACGGCCGTTGCGTCGTCGGTGGCGGACCAGGGGCGGAAGCTGGCGGCGGCCGCTGGGCCGGCGTGCTCGACCGCGGCGGAGACGGGGCGCCAGGCGTGCTCGTGCGCGGCGGAGGTGGGGCGCCAGGCGGGGACGGTGGCCTGGAAGCTGACGCGGAGCACGGGGAAGGCGGCGTGGATCGCGGGGACGAGCTTCCTGGTGCTGGTGGCGCCGCTCATGATCCTGACGGACCGTGAGGCCGCGTTCAACGAGAATGAGAACGCGTGGACAGAGTACCAGACCCTCTTGGGCCCTCCTTCCTGGTAGTTGTCGCCGCCCGACGTCGTCATCGGCGGAAAAAAGTAGTGCTGCTAGCAGTATTATGGGTTTTCGATCTAGCTAGATTTTTTGCTTGTTTGATTTACTTGTCCTGGGGTAGCAAAAGTAGTAGCAGTAGTGGTGGTGGTTTTGGATCGAGACAACTCTTGTGGATTTTGCTCAACGATTTTGTGTTTTGAAGACATTGTGTGTTTTGAAGACAAGTAAGCAATAATTAGTTTAGTTATGCTTGCAAATCATCAATTTTTCTTCCTCTTCCATAACATTGATTACACAACTGCTGGAAACATTATCTCTTGGGCACGGCCGTCGATTAGCAATCCTGATAATGAGTATGGTGATTGTCGTGGGGTACTGAATTAATTACAAGTACTCACCCATGGGTTGTTGACTATCAAACCTTTTCCCCCGCAAAAAAAGACTATCAAACCTTTCTTTGCAACGCTCAAATGATGATTATGAATATGTGGCAACTAAAGAAGCATGTACTCTAGCGTGGCACGATTGTTGTAAGCTATGTTGCTTGTCTGTGTGTTAGGAGAACAGTTTTTCTGTTGTTGCCCGTTGCTCTGTCATGTATGTACCTTCTCTATTCTCTCTGTCATCTGCCTTCAGTACATGGAGCACCATCCGGTCAGCAATGCACGTTTCCACACCTGCATATACATGTTGCAGAATTACTGTGCATTTGGTTCTTTACTTTGACTCAATTTTGTCCGTGATTCATGATACTATGCAAGAGAGTACCTTGAACGCCATACATCTTTTGTGCTAGTTTCTTTCCTTTCCCGACCAGCACGATTTGGCCACCTACACCTTGTCACTTCTCATGTCCTGCTTTTTTTTTCGAACCACACGGAAAAACTGCATGTGTATTCATTAACAAAGGAGAAGATACAAGCCAACGAAGGCCCGACTGACTATACGCCAGGTACCTAAAAATAAAATTGCATCGGTCACTTTCATCCAGGGCCCTTAGATCTTCATCCAACAGTAGAAAATTAAATTGTGGTACTGTTCATCTTCAACCTTCATCGTCTTCTTCCTCCCGTAGCCACCAGCCAACCCAGACCTAACCACCTGCCTCTCTCCCCCC